TTCTTGCCCAGATGCAACACTCTACACTTTCAAACACTCTAAGAGCTAAAAGGTTGCTTATTTATAACCTTTTGCTAAGAGGCGTTACCCACTTGCACATGGTGTGCGCACATCTGTAAGGCCAGAAGCAGGACCCCGACTGCAGTGGGGGCATTTTTTCTTTTGTGGCACTATTGTGGGAGTTCCTTGCATCCTGCCACAGATGTTTGTACTGCACAAAAGTCAGAGCCTGCCCTCACACCTCCCTTCTCCAGGACCACAGAGTTACTGGAAAGACTCCAATCCTCATCTCTCAGTCATGAGGACAAAGTCGTCAAGTCACTTTGAAAGACCTGCGCCGACAACAAACCAGTACGAACAGCTGACATGCGAGCTGTGCAAGAGGACAAAGGAATGTACGTTAACTTCCCAACACAAATGCCATTTGGGCATAATCTTAATCATGACACAGATCAAGAGCAATCCTATCCCTGAAACTCACAATGTGCTAAGGATAAACATGAGCACTTTCCTCTTTGCAACCTTTTCAGCTAATATCACAGCTGTCATGAGACTCACTGTCACAGAAATATCAACAGACAGCTGCCAACATCTCCAAAGGTTTGCTTTTAGGGGAATTAGAGCAGAGTCTCAAATGGAAATTCTGTCTTTGACTGAATGGGAAACCACATAAGGCCCTCCATGAGCCGGGGTAGAGAAAAATACTCGAAGTGTCAATTACAGATACTGTTGCCAAATGAATAACAACTCCATCAAGGGGAAACCTTTCTGATTACACCCAAATAACCTGCTTTCATGTTTTTAGCTTTGTGTTTACACATTTGGGTCACCTTTGTCTGGCTTCAGAATGATTTAAAGAGGTATTACAGCACTCCTCAAAGAGGTGGCAAATTCACATCCTAATCTCCATCTCACCCATGCAACTCTGCAGACTACCCAAGCAGTAACAGATAGCAACCCCATATAAGCAGCATAAGCCAGGTAAAGAGCTGTCACCACAGTGGGCAGTAGACTTGCCTTCAAAGACCACCGATAGCTGGAAAAGCTCTCTAGCCTACAAAAAAACCCCCCACAAACCAAAACCAAAACAAAAACTAAACAAAAAAACCCACCACTCCTCCCAACCACCAAAATTCCAAACAAACTGGGGAGCAGGTCTGAAGCTCTAGATTCTCACCAGTGCTGCTTGTACCATGTTATGTTGCTTCTTTCAATTTCTGATGGATGCATTCAGGCGACTGCCACAAGGATAAGAGTGGTCAATCCCCAAGTTTGGATTAACATCTCCAGCTACCTCTATGAACAGGCAGATATTGGAGCAAGTTCAACTGCCTATAAAAGGAGTACATACACTTCTTATTCCCTTTGGTTTATGATAGGAAAGGCCACAATGCCAACAACTGCTTTGTCTGTGCCAGGATTCTTAATCTGAAATACAGACTTTGGTCAAGATGTATCGGACAACTCATTGTCACCTGCTTTATTCACAGAGGTGGGTTCTAGGCTTGCTTATGACAAAATAAAATGTCTTCCCAAGTGTTGCTATCAACCTCATTTTGCAGGTGGATTAAAAGCCTCAATGGAAAATTATCTGTCAACATGGCTGGGGAGAAATAAGAAGAGACATCTAAGTTGTCTATCCAATGAAAATAATCCAGCACCACAGGTAACAGTGTTTGAAGCTCAATGCCATGTGATGAACAATGATGAAGTATCGTTATGCCTAGAACAGAAGCCCATGAATGCAGCAGAAAACCCTCAGCAACAGAAGAAAACCAACAAACGAACATCTGATAAAATGCATCTCAAAATACACACCAGCAGCTCGCTTGTCCTCCTTACTATCTGCCAGCCTAGCTCCCTTACAAATGTTGAAAATATGCATTTTCACTGATGGCTACTGCGAGGTTGTTTTCTCTTCATTGCCTCCCCAGACAAGGTAGTTTTTTCCCAGATACCGCACTTCATTAGGGGATAACTGATAACACACTAGACAACAGAAGAACCTTCTTAATGCTAAATCAGAAGCGACATAAAAGAGTGAATGCTATTTTGAAAGCTAAAACCAGCTATCAATAAAATGTGTACCGAAGTGACTCTGTACAGGAGGAGAAGACATACTCCACCTGAGTGGCCCAAAATAAAGGTCAAGATTCTTACTGAAAAGACATACTGGTGACACGGATGAATGGCACATCAGGGTTTCAATACAATTTCCAGGAAAGCTGGGAAGACTCGCAGGGCAAGCTACTCTTCACTCACAGGAAGCCCACTGCAAACAGCTACCTTTCTTTTGTAAATCAGCTCGTGAAAGTTTCGGTTTTCTGGTTTCTACAGAAATACTGCTTTCATGGGCCTCAGAGCCCTCTATCATCACTGAACAAACAGATAACTAAAGGACATCTGATCCTTAGAGCTTATGGTAAGAAGAAGATCCGAGTTCCTCAGTGCTGTCTCTATCAAGAATCAGATACCTTTCTCTTAACACTGCCCTGAAAGTCAACCACATTAAGGGTTTTCTTGTGTGTTTAACTTCCCTAAATTTTTTTTTTTAACAGAAAAATTTACTTAAGTGTGCTCCACTACTTGCAATTGCTTTTAGAAGTACTGACTATTCAATCCTTATGCCTTCCTCTCCTTCCCTACCATTTAGGAAAGACATAAACATTGCACTCTACAACACACAGACACAAAAAAGATCTATTTCACTTTGGCTTCCTTCCACATTTATTTCTTTCAACTTTTAAGAAAGATAGACTTGGTGCATGTCAACTTGTCTTTGCTGTTCCAGATGGTAAAAGCTCATTTAACTTCTAAAAATCTGAAAAACAGTACCTTAAAGTAGTTGCTACTTTTAAGCTTATTTTCCTTTGAAGGCATTTTTTTAGACTAGTCTATCCATAAAAGAAATTAACAAAAGTATGCAATGAATGAATCAATGGCATTTGTGTCAAAAGGATTAACTTTCTTCCCCCAAAAGAGATCATTATTTAGGAAACTGTAAACATTTGGAAAGTCTTCACTAACATACAGTTAAGGACAAAGACAGGATGCAGTAACAAAATATGTTTTCCCTTCTTTACGAAACACTTCAGTCCTATGCTGTTTTATTATCTAAGCGTGCTATTTTTTCCCAGTTGCTAAAGCAGAAAATCAGAAACTCTGCCATAAGTGAAATCAAGTTTCAGAGTATTCTAAGACAGAAAATACAATCCACAAGAAACACATAGCAAACCATTTGGCAAAAAGAACTACAGGATCATTCTCCTCTTCTCATAAGAAAGCAAATTAGGAACAAAAGAACAAGTTCTATAGAGGCATAAAAATATTTTTATGAATGCTTTCTTTGCAGGTGAACGCAAACATGATTTCACAAAGAAACAAAGCAGAATGCATGACAGAACTCAGGACTGTGGAAGTACTCCATATTTACTGTTGCAATATTGTTGAATGACAACAACAAACAAAATTTCAAAGTGTTTACATCTATTTGTCTTTGAGCTTCTCTCCCCCAAATATAATGAATTTTGGCAAGTGCCTGAACATGTGACAGAGCAGCACAATCAAAAATAAAAGCAACCCTTGAGAATATTCCCGGATCACAAAACACCCTGTACTTCAATAGATCATTTAGTTTTGTTGGCAAATGGAAATGTAATCTGATTCTAAGACATTCCACATTCCTACCTCAGGATCATCATCATCAAAATCATGGTAAGTGGAATGATCAGGATTATTCATTTTATCCAAAAGTTCAATAGCAAGACTTCGATTTAATGGCTGGGTAACAAAAGGATGCTGAAAGACAGAAGGAAAAACAGATGTTAAGATTCCAACCACTCATACTAAGCATATTTTAATTTTATAACTCAAAAAAAAATCATCCCATACATAGATTTATACCTGTAGTAACTTTTCAGCTGTAGGTCTTTTTTTAGGATTTTTTGTAAGCGCCATTTTCACAAAATGATGAAAACTACTGGACCTGTAAAATGAAGTGGCAAACATTAGAATAAATTGCCCAGTAAAATACATGATCATTGCCTACTGAAACAGAAAAGTACTTACCATTTCATTTTGTCCTTTAATTTAGGAGGCTGGAAGTTGCTTTTTGTCATTAGAAAAAGTGCTCTGAAAAAAAAATGAACAGTATTTCTGTGGTTTACACTGCCATACATATATGAGATGAATTATTAAACATCTTATTTAGTCGGAATGAAGAAGTCCATCAGTTTAAGAGATGCTACCAGGACGACATTACACATTTAGGCACCAAAAATAAAAGTTGTTACAATTTCTATCACGTACATTCAAAACACTTACAACCCCATAGCCGTGCAGTACCTGCAAACACCACAAGCACACATAGCCATTGCTCCAATTGGATTATTTATGAAGCTGTATTTACACACCAAGCTTTAACCCCTTACTAACCGCATCGGATGTAGGTCAAACATGGGAGGCTGAAGTTCTGCAAGCTCTATAGCAGTTATTCCAACCGCCCACAGATCACAGAGTTGGTTATAGCCACCTTTTCTTTCTACTGCGGCAACTTCTGGTGCCATCCTAGAGAGTAAAAGACATTTTCAGATAAACTTCTTGCCACAAATCAAACATTCTTCTGTATGCAGTAGTCTAGTGCTCTTTTCCCTAAAGCTCTCAATCTATATGCTCACAGAATATACATTTATACATGTGGATATGTATATATACACGTACGTGCGTGTGTGTGTGCATGTGTGTAAAAGGTTATGTAACGTACACATGAAGTACTCAATCATATTCTAGTAGCTAACAGGCAGTTTCCCAAACAGCTATTTAGCAGTAAGTGGATGAAACCAATCTATCTCAGACTTATTTGCAGGCACAAAACAACCACTCGGCAACCAAAGAGCCTAAAGTATAATTACTCAACTACAGGAAAATCCAAACAATATCCAAATTCACACATTGCCCCAGAAAGCGACCAAGTGACTTTGAAGAATTCTAACAAACAAGAAGTAACAAAATGTCAGCTTTCTTGTATACTGAAAGCATGAGACCTGAAGACTCATTGTCACCTCTGCACAGAGCACTCCTTGTTTGTGAAGTCTGCCTCGCTGTCATGTCAGCAGACCACATTTCAGTTAAAGTAGTTTATCATCCTCAGGTGGCAAAAATGAACCAAACATAACTGACACATCAATAGGAATACCTAAAGCAAGTGATTCACCAAGCGTTACCACGTTTTGAACGGCCAAAGTGAATTATGGATTTGATTATCCTACATAGTCATATCAGATGGGAAACGTTAATGTTTTTTAGCTTTGAACTTTATTAGTCCAGATCACCTGAAAAGTAGCAGTGGAACTGGAGAACTCAATATCGGTAAGGCAGGTGAATGTCACGTCGTGAGAGCTCCAGTAAAGCAGCAGGCATTATTTAACACACAGACATCCTCATTTGTAAATCTGAAAACATCATCGAGTTGGTGGTACAACTGATTTCAAGTTGCAAAGTTAAACTATATTGACATACATTTCTTTGGGAGTTCATAAAAAAACCCACTCACTCTAAATCGAAAAGGAAGGAGTTCCCAAGGTACAGGGGGAACACGGGTTAACTTTAGAAAGACATGGAGGAGCGCAAGGGTAAACAGCAGGGTCACTAGAACGACAAACACTGCACAGTAGTTTTGCCCTTCACTTCCCTCCCATCCAAGCACCAGCGCCTTACCTGCCCAGACACCTCTAATGATCACTAAAACCTCCACACTACCTGTTTCCAAGTAACTCTTCTTCTCCACCAACAATTTTGCTTCCGCGCTTCTCCTCTCAAATCTTTGAGAAGCTTTGCAAAGAAAAACTGAAGCTTTTCATCAGCATTTAACCTATGTAATGCTTTCCAAGTTGTTGTTTAAGGTTCTGACACGTCATTTGAGGAGCCTGGCACAATTTGGAAGTTACAGTGATACAGGCCAGGACTAAGGTCACCTAGACATCTCAGGAAAGGGAGACAAATCAATTACACGATCATGACCGATGGGTGTTTGTTATCTTGAAAGGCAAGTGAATCCATGCCTTGGCTTGACGTACACTGCAGAATAATGCTAAAAGTGCTATGCTTGGCTACTTCAAGAGTAAATACTTAAATGAGGGGTTTTTTCATTATATAAATTTTTATCTTGTACCTATTATGCTGTCAGACAACAGAATTTTGAATATCTTTCTGAGAAAAGTACAACAAAAGTGATATTTTACAGTGAAGTATGTGTGTCATTTACTTCAAGGCGAAAGAGAACAATCACTTCCAGTACAAAGAGGAGAAAATAAAATGCCAAAGTTCAGAAAAGATAAATTATGCAAACTAGTACTGAAGGAAGAATAAAGATGCAGTACAGATAGAAAATATATCTATGTTTGAATACAACCAGTTCTGTTAAATAAGTAAAAAGAAAAAGAATCCTTGGAGACAAATGAAACTCATTATCAACTGAAGAGGTGCAGAAAAGATGTATCTAGGGTGGAGGGGAAGAAGCCTAAACACCAAAAAGGAAAATCAAGGAAGAAAAAAAAAAAATTAAGATCAGAGATAAAAAGAGGCAAAATTGTTGACAGTTTTAATTTAAAGTTTGACTGAATGGAGATACACTAGTCAAGTGATGGTAGCACACAGACAGCCTTTGAATTTTTCAGAATGCTAGAGCATTTTCTCTGATACTGAGCTAACTCAGTATTTAGCATAAGTAATACAGATATGATCACTAGAAAGTCTGACACAGCCTATAGTGATCAGTCTACCCATAAAGTGACACAGCATGCTTTTATAACAACTTTTCAACAGTATTATATATGTTACTATTCTATTAATGGCCAAGTAAAACACAGTTACCAGTATGGGGTGCCAATGAATGATTTCCTTTTAGCAATTGTAGCTGTTATCTGTGCAGATACTCCAAAATCAGCTATTAAAAAAAAAAAAAAAAAAAAAAGGCAAAACCAAAACAACAGTTAATAACTGATTTGATACAATTAATTGTTAAGGAACACAAGTATGGTTTCCCCATTTTAAGAGTTTCTTAATTATACTGGAAATATTTAACAAAAAATAAATACCAAAAGCAAATGATGGAAACTTGGTGTATCAGATACCATTGGTCAGCTCCTCTCGGCTGCCTGCCAAATATGCAGGCTGCACACAAACATGCCCCTTATCAACACAAGAAAGGACAGGCCAGCGCAGAAGCCCTAACAGTTACATGCAGAGTTTTAACACGATAAAATACATCATTTAGTATTACCAAGAGATTCCTTCAGGTAACCTTTCAAGGTACATTTCACACCTAAGCACTCTGGATCGTACATTTGATTAAAAAGTTATAAAAACCTGTGATTCGATTTTTACTTCTCCCTTACAAGATCAGAAAGTCTTTTACCTCAGTGTTCCAAAAGTACTCCCATTACTGCTCAGACACTAATTGGCTCGTGCAGTTAGATATTATGAGCAAGAGAAAAATAATTCTGATATTCACTAATTCCTTACATGAACCATTACATCATGAAACAAAATACAGAAGACTGCTGCTTAGAGCACATAAAAATCTCTTAGTAAAACTAAATCATATTAACTCACCTAATTTTACATGTCCATTATCCGTTAAAAGAATGTTTGCTCCCTTAAAAAAAAAAGTAAGCATACTTTAATTAAAACATGCAGATTCCTCCAATACCATATTAAAAAAAAAAAATTATGTGAGATCTTATGGTAAACTAGGGGACAAACACAAACCAAGGATTGTGTGTTCAAGAAATCTCCAGCCTTACCAAAGAAATGTTTGTGAAGTTAGCAAATTGCCATTCTGTTTTATAAAGATACTTGAATATACAAGGCTTCCTCACTAATTTTTAGTTTAGTACTCTTTACTCTGTACACAAAAACCTTCCAAAAAGCAGAATATGATGATTTGCCTATGCTGATGAACTCTTGCTTTTTTTCTATTTACACTGACTGAAAGGAAATAAGAACTCTGAAGTTCAAAGAAGAAGTAATTTGATTTTATTTTCATATGTAGGAGCTGGTTTTGTCTTGTTTGAGAGACATAATAATTATAATTATAGCCTTAAGGATCTGCCTTGATATTCAAGTGTTTAGAAAAACTATTTCCGTCCTTACGCAACAGAGATTGTGTTAGTGGTAGATTTGAAGTTAGCTGTTGTGTGGTTATATGTACCACTCCCCGAAGTGGCAGTTGATACCATAAAATTATGACGTAAAAGGACTGAGAACAAACCTGCTCTGAAGACTGAAAGCAGGTAAAGGTTGAGTTGAGTGAAGGCTGGAGCTGGTTAAACACAGCTCCAGACGTCAGCACTGCCCACAAACTAGATCAAAAGGCAGCACAGATGGGCCTCTAAAAAACTACATTTTTACAGATTATGGCTTTTCCCAGAGAAGGAAAAGACAGGCCTGCAGTAAAATGCAGCTTACTTTGGCCAACGTCACACAAGGACAGTTAATGAGCCTTGCAAATGGAGCTTGGAAAGTTAACGTGCTCTTGACCTTGTTCACCTTTCAAGACTAACAGGACAGACACTCTAAATACATAACCTAGCTACTGAGGCAGGTAAACATTATTCAACAATCAGGAGATCTGCAGATGAAGACAGTATTTTTCCATGCTCATGAGAACAGCTTTAAAAAAAATAAAAATCCCAATGTAAGCACTGTAAGCATTTTTTAGAAACAAGTATACATGCACTGTATCCTTACAAGCACCACTTTACATTCTATAAAGTGTAATGAAAAATGTTTAATTTTTGTTTCTAAAGTAATCTTTCATTCAGAAATTATTTTTATGAGTGTTCAAAACCCAAATATCCTTCTGCAGTCAATGAGAACACCTTGGAATCAGGTTGCATTAAGGAATCTACAGTTGAAGCTACTAAGTACACTGCATCCCTAGTCTGAAAAAAAACCACCAACCAACCAACCAAAAACAAACCGAAAAACCCACAAACAAACCAAACCAAACAAGCAAAACCAACCCCACACATAACACAAAGGAATATGAGAATTTACTGTCAGATTTCCAGGAGGAAGCCTGCCAGCCTGCCAAATTTAAACTGCAGTCTGAGCAAGGAAGAATTTGGGAAGGCAGAGAGGAGGTAGTAAAAACACCCGGTGCTTCATCAGGAAGCACCAGAAGGAAACTACAACAGAGAACGTAAGAGTCCAAACAAGCCACCACACAACTTCGTCGAGATGTTTAACGAAGTCAGTGTTAAGAGCCTGATTTGCAGTACCCTCTCAAATTTTAGCATGTGAGACAGTAGCCAGAAGCAGTCTCCAAGAACCACACAGAACACAAGCCACTGCCCTGAAGTCTGCTCACCAAGAAACGAAGCAAGCAGCCAAAGCAACAGCTCTGCTCAGCAGCTGGTTCAAAGAGAAGGGGACATCAAGCTTCTTGAAAAGGTGTGGGAAAGACCAAACCTTTCGTTTTGCAGGCAGCACATCCTTACAGTCATCTAAACACATGTTGCTCTGGACACTAGCTGATGCCTAAATTTCACACCACTGGGCTAAATAAATAGTATGTTTGGCTCCAATTAGAGAATAAACTATTTCCATGCAGGCATTTTAAAGAAAGATCTTTTTTTTTTCCCCCTTCCCTCGGGCAGAAAATTTTATTTTATTCTCCTAGATAGAAAAACCCTGCATATTTAAAAATATCCTCCAAATTGATAGATAACATTAAAGACCCATCAGAGGTGATGTAGCCTACTTTAAAAACACCAAAATTCCCTTCAGTTTTCACTTACCTTTATATCTCTGTGCATTTTTCCTTTACTGTGAAGATAATATAGTCCCTGCATAAAATATTTAGATAATAATTTAGTCCAATATTTTTCATTTTATATACATTTATTTAACTACCAGACATATTTAGGATCCAATTCAATCATCTAAATGACTCACTGACTGAAGAACATTCTTATATTTCAGTGTATCTGAACTGTATTTGCAAATTCAATATACGTAGTAGGATAAGGTCTAAAACACAGGACAGATGGAACGAATACCAATCACCACATCTATTGTAAGACAAGCATTCCCCGACCAAGTTTTCCCCCGGACAACTGGACATATTTCTGGGTCTTGATGATACTACCAAAGCATTTTAGGACTCAACAAGAGTTAGAAACTTTTAAGTTTAAATTCTGCAAGAATTCTATAAAACTGAATCCCTGCATGACAAATCACAGCGCACATCAGTTTTGACAGTTCAGGCTTCTCTCTAAAATTCTCTTCCAGGGATAAAATGACACATAAACATCTTCCTCGCTCTGCAGTCATGAATCTCCACGAAGACTACATTTACATGGGAGATACATACATGTCAAGACAGAATTTTTTTTTTTTTGCCAGCTCATGCAAGACATCACAGGAGTTGATTGCAAAAATAAATTAGGATTGTTTTCAATTATCAGCATTTTCACGGATGGTCCTAAAAATACCAACAGGAAAAATGAGGAAACAATCACTTACATGACTTGGTACTTAAGATTTTAAGTGAACAGCATTGTACAGATAGACAACAGTACCACTGAAGATACAGTTTTGGGGTGTTTTTTTGTCAGTTCATGAAAATCTGAATACAATTTAGCTGAAGCACTAATCATTTACCAAATTCAACTCCTTAAATAAACTTCAAAGAATCTTAACCTGTTTCTCTGTGGGAAGTGACTGACAATACCCAGTTAGTCCAGTGGTTTTTCAGAGTCCTTACTGCAGGCATGCATGCATACCCCAAAATGGGACTCAAATTGATTTTGCTACAGAGATTAACCAATCAAAGCATGGAATCACAGAATAGCTTGGGTTGGAAGAAACCTTAAAGCTCATCGACTTCCACCCCGCTGCCATGGGCAGGGACACCTCCCACTAGCCCAGGTTGCTCAAAGCCTCATCCAGCCTGGCCTTGAACCCCTCCAGGGATGGGGCATCCACAGCTTCTCTGGGCAACCTGGGCCACTGCCTCACCACCCGCACAGGAAAACATTTCTTCCTCACATCTCATCTCAATCTCCCCTCTTCCAGCTTAAAGCCCTTAGCCCTCGTCCTGTCACTACACTCCCTGATCAAGAGTGCACCCCCCCATCTCTCCTGTAGACCCCCTCCAGGTACTGGAAGGCTGCTAGAAGGTTTCCCTGGAGCCTTCTCTTCTCCAGGATGAACAACCCCAACTCCCTCAGCCTGTCCTCATACAAGAGGTGCTCCAGCCCTTGGACCGTCTTTGTGGCCTCCTCTGGACTCGCTCCAACAGCTCAACAGTGACCCAGAATTGGATGCAGCACTTCAGGTGGGGTCTCACGAGAGCAGAGTAGAGGGGGAGAATCCCCTCCCTTGACCTGCTGGCCACGCTTCTCTTGATGCAGACCAGGATCCAGCTGGCCTCCTGGGCTGCAAGCACACATTGTCAGCTCATGTTCAGTTTTTCATCTACTGACACCCCAAGTCCTTCTCCTCAGAGCTGCTCTCCATCCATTCCCCTCCCAGCCTGTATTTGTGCTTGGGATTGCCCCGACCCAC